TCCTCTATCTTTTGATCGTTACGATCATCACCTGTTGACCAACTAGGATCGAACGAGCCAATACCACCCCCATCACCCCACACCATCCTACCCCGCACCCACCATCTCAGCAAATCGATGGCGTTGAACCGAAAAGGAAGTGAGGGGTGTGCAGAAATTTTATGGAAGAAATGAAAAAAATTCTAAGAGATTTCTGACCGCGCGTCCCGCTATGTAATTATTAAATATTACTAAAAGGGTCGAAACAAGTCCTACCCTTTGGGAAAACGTCCGCAAAATACGACCCCCTTCTCAAGATTTCCTCGGGTACGGGTTTCTTCGGGTCCTCCTTCTCCAACCCTCATTCTATCGTCTTTCCCAAACTTCCCAACTTCCTAGCACTTCTCCGATGTGGGAGGAGGGGGAGGGGGGTGAGAGGGCGCACTTAAAACAGGAAAAGTTAGAGCCAAATACACTTCTCTTGAAGGAAAACATGATCCCCACAGCGTAAGCCGTCGGTTTTTCCCGCTCCATGTATGTTATGCATCCTCAGGTCTTTGTATTCTCGAAGTTCCCACACTCCCTCGTACTTTGCAGAATTTCCCTCGCTGCTCAAGCGGCGCAGTTATTGGGGAAAATGTGGGAAAGTTCTGGGAAATTTTAGTGGTAAAAACTTGGGTATGAGGAGTCAGCAAGGTGGTAGATAGGATGTGGGAAGGGGGTCGTAAATTGGTATGTTATTGGAACTAGAATGATAAGAATCACATCATCATCATTGGGGCAAAACCCATTTCCAAACAAAGCAGAACTTACTGGAAAAACTTCTTTTCTACCGCGCGTTACTTATGGGCCAACCCAATACTTACAACGTATCACTAGCCGACGTTATATAAAGCTTTCCGTACCTTGAGGAGCACGAAATACTCAATGATAACGAGGTAACCAGCAGCCGATTGTGACGGGCACGAAGTGTTGCCATATTCACCAACAAAATTACAGTAAGATGTTGGCGAACCGAGGAATGCCCTCTTACATGTATCCGATTCTTTGAGGCCTGAAAAGGGACAATTATTAGAGGGGAAATTCTGTGATAATCGGACGTGCGGAGACTCAGACCCACTACAGCTTCCTCACTAAGGCGCTCTTGAAAGGCGCGCCAATGAGGAAAGCCCAACGGCTGTGGCTCTCCACCTATTTAGGTATCATGGAGTAAGGCTTTCCTAGACATAAAAAATCGAAGAGAAATTAAATCAACTGACTGGAAAGATCAGTAGTGAAAAGCGACAACCAAACCCATGCAAGTGATGAGCGTGCCACTGAAAGCGAAATATCCCGGTCCGGATATAGAACAGCGTGAATCGCCGCTGCACTACTGAAATTGGTAAAGTCAATTAAACCGCAAATGTAAGAAACGCGGGGAAATTCAGTCAAATCACTCAAAATTCAGTCAAAGTCAATCCCGAATTATTTGGGTCATGTATAACTGCTACGACTGTCTCAATAGCACATTCCGCGCTAATCATATGGGGAGAGTCCACTAAGATTGCGCACACCCGATGCCACTCAGCATGCCAACTGTACGATGCAAAACGCACAATCTTAAAGACACAGTGGTACGCTCGAAACACATTGAGTGGGTATGAGAGACTAACAGCCCCCCCCAGCTATGTGTCGTGGTTTCCCCGCCTGAAACTGCACGGGGGTCCGAGTACGGGACCGTGGGAAAGGCTTATTCCTTGCTACGCCGCCCGAAATGCAACTTGCGCGCGGCGAAATGCAACTGCGCGCGGTGCATTTTGGGCGGTGTAGCAAGGAATAAGCCTTTCCCACGGTCCCGTACTAGGAACCCCGTGCAGTTTCGGGCGGGGAAACCACGACACATCGACAGCTGGGGGGCTGTTAGTCTCATACACCCTTAATGTGTTTGAGCGTACCATGTGCCTTAATGTGCAATTTTTTCTCCGCCCATTCAGCTCGAGGAATCTGTAAATCTGAAGGCTAAGCCGTTATAAAAGATAGAACAAGAGGCTCTCTGTCGTGAATCGCAAATCCCGCGCTCGTCAGATGGGCGGAAACAGAGAACCGCCTTATTGGTGAGTCCCCTTTTACGATCTTGAAGTGCACAAACACCGAAGTTGATTTCATTAAAGCCCTCGCTCTGCACACTTGATTTTTAAGAAATTTGCCAGTATGGAGCGAGACACTGAGCGCACGGAGGAGAGACCGGATAACTATATGCGAAAGAGTTCACAGACGAAAGAGACCGCAACTCTCCAAGGCGTACTCGAAGAGGGCTCTGTCGCCTTGACTGGCGTGGAAGCTCACGGTGTCCCTGCTAAGCTCCTTCGAGTGATGGTAGTGGTGCAGCCTCTCTGATTGTGGACTTAGATACTTCACACGCGCATGGAAGAGGTTAACTCAGCCAACCGTGAATTCTACCTTTAATAAGAAGTAACAAAGCTGAAAATGAAAGGGATTTGCTCAGCTAAGCAGGATTTGATCCAATGATTCTAGGCACCTTGTCTGAGGACCCAAGTGCTTCTATCATTTCAACCAATCATCACTTCTCTCTTACAGTCTTACTATGCTTTTATCTTGTATAAGAACCCACCTTGACATCACTAAAGCGACCAAAATAAGGAAGTTGGTGAAATCTCTGAGGATCATCAGCTTCACTCGAACGATAATCGGACCAAACAGTTCAGAGAGGGGAATGTAGAAGAAAATCGTTGCATAGCACCAGTAGAGCAAAAAGAAAGACGACAAAACCCGTACAGGATACACAGTAGAAAGCAACTGAAACATACAAAATCTCTGGGCAGCTTTCAGACTTCGCAATGCCGTACGTCGACACGTTGTTGCGCTTCCTTTAGTTTTTTTTTTCTATTTGTGGGCCGGGAGAACCACATTGCGACGACGCTCAACAATTACTATCGATTCGAGCTGGTCGCTGGTGTTTTGAGAGAGTACAGAAGAATAGGAAGGCATCAGACTGGGTGATCACGCAACGCGCACCCTCCTATACTGCCGTTCCGAAAGTTCCTGGGTAAAGGGACGTAACAGGTACTACAAAAATTGAATGTACTCGAGGGACCGACCACACCCTTTTTTACTCCTCTGCGCTCTCTTAGCAAAATACAGACGAAGAGAAGTTCACTGAGCGAACATTATCTCACCGCGAGGACCCAGACAAGCGAAAAAAGGGGGGTAGCCTAGTTCCGCTCCCGACGGCCTCCCTTCCCCGTCCCAAATATTTTAGCTCATTACTACGTAGTACTACTTTAAGCAACACTATTAAGTCAAAGCAACAGGATTTCGCTAAACTTACAAAGAAATCCGTCACAACACTGTCACCAACAAATTTAAACAAAAGCATTGAAATCAGAAATGCCAACGTCAGAACACAGTCGAAAACCTGAAATCAATGTTCAATCGATTAGCTAATAGTGGCCGTGCGACGCAACCGCTCGCGCCTGCTCGTGGTTTCCACTGAGGAAAAACTAGCTGAATAAAACACATCTAAATTGCAATGAAAAAAGTCAAAACTCTCACCCGCCATGGCATCAGTGAAAGGGGTGTGGTGTGATTACGCATGTTGAGTACCCAAACTGCTTCAATCCATGCGATAAACGTCCACATCCAAACGATCGCGTCCAGCGTGAGGTTACCACACCCAGGTAGTAAGATCTAGAGTCATCCAGGAATTTGCTATTCGCTCCCTGGGCTTCCCCCCCCCTCTCCCTTGTTGCATCTCCCCAAAACTTACCGAATAAGCGAGAAGCGCTATGTGAAGCAGTCGGAATAGGAGCGACAGCCAGTACTTGACGATTGGAGTTGAGTAAAACAAGCACAATGACGGTGGTGCACGACGACTGATTGGACGCGGCTGCAAAACGGAAAACGGAAATCGGAATACCCGAAAATATCCGGTTAGAGTAGCTGATTCCAAGCAAGAACGTGAGAACATTGTAAAAAAAAGCGCTTCCTATTTCCGTCATTGAAACTGAAAGTCGGAGCTCGTAAATAGAAAAAAAACTACCTTTTTAGTAAAAATCGCATCTTCACCCTCGACATCCTCGATGTTGAGTGGGAAAACCATCGACTGTGGTGTGACCGACTCCGTAAAAGCCAGTTGTGGCATGGAATGTCCAGCACCCACTGCACTCAGCACATCACTACGACCAGATACCACACTGAAAGCCATAAGCATTGAGCAAGTTTGAATGCGCCATGCACTCAACTCAGAACAAGATTCTGGGCGCTCTGAATGTTATACCAGACTTCTAAATACAAAATCATATGGCTGATGTTCACGTCAGCGTTTTTTACTGGAAACACATTCAGCGATAAATGGCTGGGCGGAAAGTCATAACAATTGCGCTCGCTAATTGGCCCGCCCCGCTCTTTACCGTATTGGGAGGCAGGCTACAGCATCGTTGGGTGAAACACATTAGGGGGGGGGGTCGTACTTGGTCGCTGGGGAGGGGGGTCGTATTTGGCCGCTGGAGAGTGGGGGTCGTATTTGTTCGTTGTTGAGAGAGGGGGCGTTTGTGCCTTCGAGAGAAACTGACCGCGTTAGGGAAGTATTTCTCCCGGTTGTTGACTTTTCGCAGTTTTTTTCCGTTTCACATTGGCTATATACCCTCCGCTCGACGGAAAGTTTTTGGGTGAAAAACTAGTAGGAAGCTGGGAACTTGTAGGAAAGTGGTAGGAAGGTGCTGGGGAAGGAGGGGGATCGTTCCGAGACCCTCCCTCGAGGTGTGGGGGAGGGTCGTACTGACGCCACCATTTCACACATCACAACCCTGTTGGGAGGAAAGTGAACCAATGGCAGCAGGATAACCCACAATGCAAGGCATATTTGCCATTACAAAATTTAAAATTACTTGCCATTATTTGCTATTACAAAACTCCACCCTTTCTTTCGCCTAGGGCTGAATGATGCATCAATTGAGCACGTAAACGCTTAGTCCACGCTGATCGTATAGGCGGACCTTTTTTCTATGGCGCCTCCTCCTGTTTGCCGTGTTGAAGGAGGGGCATCTATGAAGAATATTGCATATATGAGGATTAAGGTAATCATGGACATTCTCCCTGCCGCTAGAAAAAATCCTCAGAAATTATTTTTCGGAAATTTTCCAAGAATTTTCCCCAGTTTTTTCCCCAAATTTCGTCGTTAAGTGAAGGGGAGATAGGCGGAGGGAGATCGCCTCAAACAGCTACTACTTTGACTGCCGGAAATAGCAGTGTACAGAACTCCCCTATGCTGGCGACGCCACCAACCAAGAGCGAAAAATCAACAACCGGAAGATTTGTTTTCATGATTCGGGATATTTTTCCCGAAGGCAGATATACCCCCCCCCTTCGCTCCATCGAAGTCTCCCAGCGACGCAGATGGCGCGCGTGAAACAGGAAATAAGTATCAAAAAAAGTCCTCAGGTCAAATAAGACCCTCTCCCTCCATCGACAGGTACAACCCCTTACTGAGGATTCCTCAACGTACACGTGCTCTGGTCATGAGTCCCGCATATCCCCCCCCCTCCCAACCCGATTACCGCGGAGCGTGTCTTCAATAACTAACCATCCATATAAGTCCAGTATTCAAAAAAAAGCCGAGCATAAAAAGAAGTTAGGCTCACTTGGCCGAGTAGAACCCGGCCAAAACCCACACCCCCTCACCTGAACTCGTTGCATCCCAGTAAAGGTATAACCTGAATTACCTGTACGTTGATATGGCTCGCACGCGTTTTTGTTGCCTGTCAACATCGAGAAGTGCTGCTGTTGGCGATTTCTTGTCAGAACCATACAACTGTGATGATATGCCGTTACTTCGAACACATATCCACCAACGAATCGGGACAACAAATACCGCTGAAAGATAACAGTTTAGGCGTTAGAGGGGGAGGGGGGGGGGGGCTGGGGGAGGGCACACAAGTAATGTTTTCGACATGCGTCTTTGTTTTTGCTTTTTATTTTGCCTCTTCACAATTGTGTCTCATCCTACAAGTCCTGTGAATTCCTATGAAGTAATTTGTAAACTCCCGCGAAACTTGGAGTTGAGATTTGGGGAAGAATGGTGAAATGGTGCTAGCGTCAGTGGGTCACCATTTCACCACTCTTCCCCAAATCTTGACTGCTAATTCTGACAAGTTGACAGGAGTTCACAGAGTATTTGACAGTGTGATAATATGGCTTAGAGGGTATCGACAATGGTCCAGTATGTATTCACATGTATACAAATCACAGGTGAGTTTACAGGATTTGGTGTGCTGACAAGCACTCACAAGTGTGCCTATCCCCCCCCCTCCGAAGAGCGCCACGTTTATTTGTAGAACACACAACGAATCATCCCGGCCCGGTCAAGATTGCCGAAACCTTTGCGTGCATGGTAAATACACCAGCACCATTTTTTTTGTAAAATTTCTGAGCCCGTAAGACAGCTAGTCCTTCTTAGCGCTATGTATGCGTCACTTGGAATCTGGTGCGAATGCAGCGCGTGTGCGAAGCGAATCTACTGACCGTCAACGTTCGAATAGCATACGTGCTGACCTGCAAGAAGTGTTTTCAACCACCGCGGTAGAATTGTTGATGAGCATGTCTGGAGTTGTCCGTAGAGAAGACGATGGAGCCAGCGCTGACACGATTCATGAGCTACCAAGCCTCGATTGTTGAACTAAAACACCTGTCCCACTAGGTACCGTAATAGCTGTTAATGAACTGGTTTACCTGGAAAGCGAGCTGCGACAATGTGGCGCCTTGGAATCCCTCTAGGGGTTGGCAGAGAAGTCGATAGGCCTTGTTGGGAGAGACTCTGTGCACCTTCGAAACCAATGCCACCGCCGAATTCGACAACGAATCAGCCAATTTCAGCAAGGACTCTTCGTAGAAGAACCAGTCATGTGACTGAAATCAATATATTTTGATCGATTGATCGATGTTTAAGGACACATCTCGCAATAATCGGATGGGCGGGAACTCATACCACTGCGCTTCTCTCAATGGCACGCTGCTTCTCTTTACCGCATTATAGTAAAGAGCGCACCAACGGGGAATGCATAATGGTTGCTGGTCTAAGCCCATTTTCCCGCCCATTCGGTTATCGCGGAATGTGGCTCTAATTCAATGTAGGCGTACCTCTCGCGCCAGGGACTTTGCCAGTCTTGACAGTACCAACGAGAAGGCGACAGGTTGATCAGAAAAAGCGCAGAGACATCGAGCAACTGAAGGACAGTGCAGAAGCAGAGCCCAAATCTGAAAGAGACCAATATGCGAAATACTGGCCACTTTCCAGAGCACTTGTTCAAAGGCACAACTCCGCGATGACCAGATAGGCGGAGACTAATGACCATTGCACCTTCTTCTTACTCGCGTCTCGTTCCAGTACGGTGAAGAGTAGGGACATACTAACGAGGAAGGCACAATGGTGACGAGTCTCTGCCCATCGGTTGTCGAGGAATTTGACTTTGAATCCTTGAATCAATGACAGGATGTATCTTCTTACCGCCAAGACACGAATCGAATCTGCTGGGTCTCTGTGCTGCATGAAATCACCACTTAATGTTGTTGGTGGAATGAGATCGTCCACACCGAATGAGAGACGCTTCTAGAATGAATTTCAGTTGAAAAAAGTGGTAAATGAGGAAATTCATGGCATTTTCTAAATAATGCATCGCCTGCTGCCGTGAAAAATCACCGATGGTCCGGTCTTGTTCACTGCGCGTGGTGGGGCGTGTCAGGGGAACGGGTTTGGCGCGGCACCGACCTCTCCTCCAGCGATTGTGGTGGCCGGCAAGTAACCACAATTGCTGGAAAATAGGCTGGCGTAGCACCAAACACAGCCCACTGACACACTCCAACATCCAAGTGATTAAAACTGCTATTTCCCTCGCAAACGGCACCCTGAACCCACTGTTCTTTTGCACAGCTAGGGCACGTCCGAGCGTTGGTGGGAATTTCCGCTTAATACGATCCCTCTCCCAAAGTTCCTCACAGCTACGACCACCCCTCCACAACCAACCCATCATCTTTCTAGACTCCCCAAAATAATCGAAAATAGTAGTTTTGAGGCGCTGCCGACGAGCGTGAAGACGCCCCTCCTCTCCAGCGACCAAAATACGACTTCTGATGGGGACCCGAGCGATGATATGTTCGCGGACCAGAGGGCCTCTCAACGAATCTGCTCGCCCATTCTCTTACAACTAGGCGCAGTCGACGAAATCAATTTGTACCAAATCCTTTTCGATATCTACCAGCTTCTTCAAAAGCAGCGGGAAAGTCGTCTCCATCAGAATCTAGGCACGTCCTGTCACCAGTGGAACTTTCGCAAAATACGACCCCCGCTCCTCAAAATTTCAGTCTGTGGTACGATTCCCCCTTCGTGCCTTCCATCTTACCTATCATCTTCTCAATTTTTCCTTACTTCCTACCACTTTACTGGACGTTTCCACCGAACTTACCGAAAACTTTTCTTTTTTCTTTTTCTTGCTTTCTCTTTTAATCCATCAAAAAACCACCGTCGAGCAGGGCAGGTGAGCGGGTAGGGGTAGATAGCGCACATGTCGAGCAGGGCTATATAGCGCAATGAAAGGGGAAAAGCCGAGAAAAGTCAAAACAAAAACATTTTTTCCGAAGGCAAATACGACCCCTCCACTCAATTATACCATTTTCACTTTAAATTCACCACTTTTCAAATCAAATTCACCACTCTTTTAGACCGGGCAGTTCACCAACCAGATCACGCCAGACACCACTGCGAGCCCCGCCCCGACGGTCACGCCTACTTGTCAGCGCGGACATAGATTTTCAACACATCGACACGGCTGACTCCGCCCATTCTTTAAGGGGATTGTTGCGAACTGCAAACATTCTTAACTTTTTAATTTCACATCCACTCTCTGCACAAAGAAGACACTCGTACCCGCGTATTTATGCACTGACAATCTCGGCCCCGCCCCCTTAGCCACACCCACTTGCTTTTTGCGAAAAGTTGATAGTTCTCAGAATTGTTGCATTTTCAAGCTGCTCCATGAAACCCCGCCGCTTTGAGAGGCTCTCGCACCCCTTTTCGAATAAGCTCCGAACACTTTTAAAGATGGTGCAAATCGGCAGTATAGAATCTTGGCTTGCATGGCTAGGGTATTGCTGGTCATTCGGAACAAACTTTGCCTGATTTATTTGTTCCGAGTGACGGACGAGACCCTAGCATGCAAGCCAAGACTCTATACTGCCGATTTGCACCATTTTTGAAAAGTGGGCGGAGCTTCTCCGAAGTGGGCGGAGCCTCCCACAGTGGACGGGGCTTCATGGAGCAGTCCAGAAATGCAAAAATCTTGAAGAAGTATCAAAATTTCGCAAAAAGCGAGCGGGTGTGGATAAGGGGGAGGAGCCTAAATTGCCAGTGCATAAATGCGCGGGTACGAGAATCTTCGTTGCGCAAAGAGTGGATGTGAAATTGAAAAGTTGAAAAATTTAAGAAATTTTGCAGTTCGCAACAATCCCCTTAAAGAATGGGCGGGGTCAGCCGTCGATGTGTTTGGAAATCCAGGCGTGGCTGACAAGTAGGCGTGACCGTCGGGCGTGGTGTCTGGCGTGATCTGGTTGGTGAACTGCCCGGTCTAAAAAGAGTGGTGAATTTGGTTTGAAAAGTGGTGAATTTGGTTTGAAAAGTGGTGAATCAAAAAGAGACTGGTAAATATGAATTCCCTTGCAGGGGATCCCCAATGTATGACGCGCTCTGACCAGAATACCAGTTTTCGTTGATAATGCGCGCCGCGTGGTTTTTTTTTGCGTACCCATTAAATAACCAAGACTAAACCATCTCGTAGTGCGGTTGAACTTCCGGCACTTCCCAAAAAAGCCGTCAGTTTCTATTTGTATTGATCGACAGGTCACATAACTACTCACTCAACTGGCTTAAACATCGAGATCAGCTCTGATAATGTCTCAGGTGAACCCTGAACAGGTCACGACTACGTTAAGGACACCCACTAACGGGAGGGGGGGGGGCGTATTTGATGGCTGTGGGGGGGGGTCGTATTTGCCTTTGTGACAAATATTTTCTCTTGTTGGCTTTTCGCTGTTTGTTCTAGACTAATACCACCTGAAACCGCCGTCATTAGCAGGCGCGACATTGCACGCGACGCCCACCGAATTACGATTCTCTTGCCACATACCCCTTGATACTCGGTTGGCTGCCGTTCCGGGATTTGAAGCGCGCATGAATGAGGGGGCCACTTTGAACCTTTTTCTTTGGATCTAGATCCTTTTTACCCCAGCTGCAACCGCTGTTAAACCTTCCCGACCCCCTTCTCTGCCTATCTTCACTTATTCTCTATGCTCGACTCAATTAACGGACCAGAATAGAATCATCTGGAACAAAAAAATTAAATAAATAAATCACGGTAACCTACTAGCAAGCGATTGAGATCACGCACGAATTTATCATCAATTTCTTCTGGAAATGACGAATAACCCATACACTGACAGAGCACCACCGTTGTGAAAAAGTGCTGAACGACATGGATTGACAGAAAGAAGCGTAACATAAATGGGGACAAGTGTCTGATTGAGGTCGATTCGGGGTTCAGTGACATTCACCTCTGTTGATTTCCTCCTTTAGAGGCTGATCGTACGGGCGGAGGCAGACAACCGCTTTGCTTTCTCTCTAGCACGCTCCCTATTATTTTCTTTGGAGGAGCGGCGAGTTTGTGAAGAAGCCACAACAGCTGGCTATCTCCGCCCATAAACCAGGCGCGGAATGCATGCATTCTCAATAAAAGCGCGACAGCATCGAAACCGAGAACTCGACTCACAGAGAAGAAGGTTGTGTAGAATACTCTACTCCAACTCATTTCACAGAAAAAAAATGCTCAATTTGCCCCAGGGAGACACTTTTCCAGTTTGCTAGTTTCTTTTACTAGTTCTGTTGATTTACATGTCTCAACTTGGCAAGACCTGTGGGCTCCAGTCAGGAGAGTGCTATTGCATAGCTTTCCAAGACTTTACAAGTTCACACAGGTGGCGTCAGCAGTCATCGATGGGAACCAGCAAAATGCTCCCACCAGGCCGAACCATGCCGAACCACGCAGCAAAAAAAGCCCATTGCAAATTGTAAAGGTTGCGCGCTCATGGCTAACATTTCTTATAGGAATCAGTGATTAAGGAGTCTCAAATGTAAGTTAAAATGAATAAAATTTCAGACGGTAACTTACTTGATCCGATGAACTTCGAGCCATTTTCAGCAGCATCTCCGAATTAATGGAAATATGCGGTTTACGTTCAAGGACTGCTGCCAAGAAAGCGACACGATCCGCAACAGCCACCGTTTCGCAGAGGATTGTTGTCATCATCTGGAACACGCAGGTCAAAAAGATGGCAGTTCCAGTCGGTCCTAAGGGCCTCTCACCTCATCGTCAAGCAGTTCTTCGATATCCATACCGTTCAGTATTGATGGTTCATTGATGTGAGCGGCCAACTGGAGCAGTTGACGGGCTTCCGTCATTCCACTGTGGCATTGCAGGCACAGTTCGATGATTCGTGACGGTAGTGATGGCAACTGAAATCGACAAATGGAAATTGCATGTCTAGATCCTCGTAGGAATTGGTAGTGGCGCCTGGTAGCTCAATGGCAGTAGGCGCTATTCCAAATGAGAGCTTGTAAGTACACTATCAATTCAGCGCACGAATCTTCTGCACTATTTTAAGACTCGAAGCAGGACCTACGACCCATTTTGAAAACAGATTCCGCGATAATAGGATGGACGGGGAGATGGGCGGAGACCCACACCTCAACAACGCACTCCCCTGCCCTTTCCATTGCACCCCCTACTTTTTCACAACAGAGCGCGGGCGCATGGCAATGAGTGATGTACAGATTGCGATAGTCCACGCCATTCTGTTGTTCGCGTGAAAATGCCTCGAAAATACTGGCAGACGATGTACATTCACTTCGTGGAGTCCTGGTCGTTGGGCATGCGCGAAGTGAGGCTGGGCCTGCAGATGCTAGGCAGCGTGCCATTTTTCTCGGCTCCAAAATTCTGAATATGAGACGCGGAGTGTAGGCGTTACGCCAAGTGCGTCCTCCGTACTCTCCGCGCCTGTCCGTACGGCAGCCCCACCCCAGCTATGGCCAAACCCCCACATTGTCCTGCCGCACCCGTCTTCGTTTCCTGAGCTGTGTCTCTACGGCTGAGCGTGTTTCGCTGCAGAGGCGACACAATGGTGCACCTTGCGGATAGGCGTACGGCGGAGTTATGAAGCGGGCGATATCATGGGCCAGCAGCTACACACCCTTTTGCCCTCCCGCTCGCCTATCAAGTTGACGAAAAATGCCTCGGAAGTATAAATGTAGAGTTACGTCTATTGACTCACTAATTACAAAATCCTTAGAATCTCGAACAGAACTTATTCGCACCTTTTGGAGTGAAGATGAATGATTAGGCACTCTGGTTAAATTGGCACCCATTGTTTGTTTGTACGGGCCATTTGGTGCAAATTGAGAAATTCGTATGTGGCGCATAGCACCAAAACGATAGGATCTTACCTCATCGGAGTCCAAGAACTCAATGAGTTGAGTGTCACCAAATGCTGTGGCAAATATCCGTACTACAGTATTCGTGGCAGTGTTCACATTACCGATCGATATCGAATCGAACTGTTCTTCAAGCCACGTAACAAACTTGGAATGTTCAAACTGCGCCGATCGATAAAGCAGGTAAGCGCTGTGCAGGACGACACAGAGCTCACAGCTATCCTAAAAAAGGTGAGCATTAGTTCTGAGAACCCTCGAGGACTAGAAAGTAATCCATACCTGTAGTACAATTATTGGAATGCCGTTCTCAACGTAGACGAGCAGCTCTCCTAAGGACATTAATGAGGCTCCTGAAACTCCACGAGCTGATATCGGAGTAGGACGTATCACCTGTTCGAAAACAGATTCCGCGATAATAAGATGGGCGGTGACTGTAGCTTTCTCATTGGTTCGCTCCTCCTCAATGAATCAGAGGAGCGAGCGCACCAATGAAGAAGGCGCAACGTTTGTGATACTCCACCCATATGGTTATCGCGGAATATGCCTTAAAAATGGCAGACCTGCAAAGATTACGACCGGTAACGGTCGTTTGTCGTTGGACGGAGAAAGCAGGATCGGAGGTGCTCCTCCGGATAGCGAAGCACCGGAGATGTTTTCTGATGGCACACCGATGAGCAACGCTGAAGTAGCAAAGTTCTGAAGATGGATTATTGCGGCAATGACTAGAGACGCCCTGAAGTTACGGGATGAGAGGAGGAGGAAGGGGGACTTTACAGGTCAACCAGTTCCAAGGTTACTTGCGTGCCGCCACTTCTGCGATAGCTGGAAGGAACTGGGAAGGTTGGTAAATATCAAGTTTCAGGCTTAAGGGAGTCGTACTGGGGCAGGGAAAAGCGCCGCGCTGAACGTACGACTTTTCGCTCGTGATGTAGCCCGTATAAGAATGGATGCCTAGACTCGCTACACTTTTAAATAATTCTGACCCAAGGAGATCGCTTTTGGCCCGGGTATTTTTAGTACTAAATATCCTTAACAAAATTTCTAAATAACAGGATCAGCACAAATCAGATCAGACTTGACCTTCAAATCATCCGCAACCCAGCGCATCACTCTCTGTCTCGCCTTTGAGAGATTTAAAAAAACCTAGAGATTTAAGAAAGCCTTAATTAGAGCGCTGTTCGGCTTGGAG